TATTTAATCTTACCGACGAATAATAGTGTTTGCGTTGTTTTCAACATTACTTGATATTTCCTGACATAAAGGGCATGATTGATCTTTTGCTCAGTAATGGCTGCTCTGTAGGGGAGATTACGGGCCAGTAGATCTACGGGTTAGTCGGATACTCGCAGCTGGGTGCTTTTCTCCGCTGACAGTTCGGAAACGTTATGCTGTCACACCAGCAGAGAAATTTAACGGAGTGTAGGTGTCTGTTTGTTTGCCTTCTATTCTAGTGACAGCTTTGTAATGCCGGATTTCTATTATTCGCTTCCGCCATCGAGTCTCTGCGCTGAACTTCACATAAGCAAAGTTTTTTGTAAGACAGTCAAGACTTTTCAGTTTGTGAAAAATTGTTGTATATCTGTGTTTGTTAAACTTGTACGTTCCTGCTGTTTCAGGTCAAATATAATCAGGTTCATCTTGAAGCACTTTGCTTATGTGCTTTCAGAAAGTGACGTCTCCTGCATCGCATCATAGCTGATGAATCTCCTGCAGTCATGCAAAAGGTACATAGACCTGTTTCACAGTCTTGTGCGATGTGTAGTCTTCAGTCGTTCGGCAAAGGGCGAGAGGCGAGACTCCTCAATTGTGCGTAATTACGCGGGAGTGGTTTTTGTATTAGTTCATGATATGACTCTAACGCTGTGTATTGGGCAATGAACGAATATGACAACTTTCTCTAATGGCCTAAAGGTACAGTGGATTCTCTGGAACAATGTAACGGTGTAAGTATAAAATAGAACATTGTATACAACTTTTAAAAGTTTTGTATGTTTCCATGAAGTGATTTTTTTGTCTCCTTTGATTTTCGGCGTTCTCACTATTGACCCATCGTCTTGCGTCGGTTTTTGCATAGGCATTCGTGTTACCGAGGCTTCGAAGATTGGTCCGTATAAGGCAGAACAGGCAGATAAAGATTATAGATTCCAATATTGGCCTGCTCACTAGGCGTTCGTTCTTCGAGCGTCGATGAATGAGTAACGCTAAGCTTGTGAAGATGCAACGGACTGCATGCTAGGTCTGCTACAGTTTTGCTGATATTGTTTTGATAAATAAGGCACTCAATGACGATATCGTCGAAGGCGTGGTCATTGCAGTACCATGAATTTCATTGGCCAAGAAGTAGAAAACATGTATATAGTAGGTACCCACCAAGCTGTGTAGTCTCCCAAGTTCCTCCCACGATGTGGTTTCTATCTATATACCTCAGAAACAGGATAGACAAGAAATTTCGCCGAGGTCGAATACACGATCTCTCTCTCGTCAGTGTGACGCATTACCGATTAGGCTGCCCTTATCACGAACGAGGGGTGCCGCGAACTGCGCCCAAAGTGGAAGATTTCCATCGTCCAGAAATGTTTGCTTTGATCATTTAGTTCGCATGCTGTAGTTGTTAGGTAGTTTGCTCATGTAATAGAGTTTGCCACATCTTGTGGGTTTCTAGTCACTGATGGCCTGATCGTAAATTGAGTCATTCGTTCGTCTACCATGCATATCTTTATTACGAATAAAGATGCAAAGCGCGGTTTGACCTGTACAACATTAAGCTAAATGTTTTCCAGCAGATAAACAGGTTGCGAC